ATATTAGGGATTTTTGTTAAAGATTTTATAGTTATGGTAATAAACAAATAATTTTGATTATGGTTACGTAAATCTCATCTTTGTTTTGTATGATTTTGATATCAATTAAAAAATAAATATTAGATGTTAATATTAATTATACTATAATAATCAATTAATTTTATTTAGTAGTGTACCATGTACCACTCCAAAACGGATTGAGAAATGTCGGTAATGTAAACCTTCAAATTTAGTAGTATACCATGAACATAAAATTAGTGAAAACACTTGATAAAAAATAAAATCTTAAATTAAAAGTGTACCAGAAATATTTAGTAGTGTACCACTTACGGGGTAATTAGTGAAAACATTAATTTAAAAATAAAATCTTAAATTAACAATGTACCAGAAATATATATTTTAGATATATTAATATGTTCATAAAGCTGAACTAAATAATAATCTTATAAAATCTAGAATATATACAAACTTACCGTCTATGCACAAATATACTGTTAATATGCACATAAATAACCATTAGTTAAGAGTTCTTTATAATTTAATCAATGTACTACTGTAACATTCCAAAAAAAAAACTCAGTTATTTTAAACACTAAAAAACAATTATGTGTATAAAATGTTTAAATTATCATAGAACGGGGTTATATGGTAGGTCATATATTATTATAAATTTAAAATATCATAGAGCTTTGGTTAAATCATCATTTATAATTTTGTTAATACCATCAATACCAACTTTATATAAAAATCCAAATATTTATATTTATTTCAAATTTAACAGAAATGTATTCAATAATGAGTTGTATTAAGTCTCACATATATAAATATATATTTTTCTCCGTCACAAATATAAATATATTTACATATAAAATATATAAATTATTTTAACGAATCTGAGGTTCACTATATTAAAAATACACATATGATACTCATAATTCTTCTAAAATCCAGCCCATATGAATTCATCAAAAAAAAATATTGGCAAATACAACTATATTATAATTTGTATTATAACACAATACCATTTATATTAATCACTAAAGAAATTCAATCATTTTATTACACAAAATCACGAATATTACATATAAATTTTCAAATAAAATGGATTTGTGGTGTATACTATGGGGTAAAAATATAATTTGTTTAACAAAAAAGAAAAAGAAATTTCCCTCCCGCTCTAGCGCAAATACGCATCTAAATTATTTTTTGATATATAAATCACAACGGATATATCGATTATGTTGGCAATCAAAAGATTATGTTAAACAAATTTTGTATATAACCGTATGTATATATAAATTATAACGGTTAAAGTTTTACATAAAAGATATGTATAAATTATTAGCCCCGTGGTGTACCACGGGGTAAAATCTAGTTATTTTATATTTATGTATGCCTCGCAAGTCGCAACTTCATATTGGGCTTTCAATGAGCCCAGTCCAACATATATCACCAAGGACTGAGAACGTAATTAGTTACACAGCTTTGCCGTTTTGGTAATTAATCTCAAAAGTCATGTTCTTTACTCTATTACGTGTATAGACGAGCCAATCAATCACACAAGAGTTCATCATTTGATGGTTCGAGACAGATTCACAAAACACTAACAGGGGAATAATGCAGGCGAGCGAAACAATCCGCTGACCAAATTGAAATCAGCGTTTCAAACACAAATACTCAAGAAGACGAGTAAGTTCTTAGAATCGGGATCTTGGTTGTGTGAAAATGTAGACCTCGTCGTAACCCCTCCTGCAAGATATATATATGATCCAAGAACTCGTTAAACGAAATCGACAACAACAGAAACAAGAGAATTCTGTAAAGATGGTCCGAGTGGCTTTACCCTGCGTATCCACAGTATGTAGGTTTATATTTGTATATGAGATTGCTCAGTACTTTCTTAGATGGTGGTCTGTTCAGTGACTTCCTAGCTTCACTGCGCCACATTCAACCCGCAATACATGAGAAACAAGTGCACAAAATGTTTTTGGAAAACTGTGAAAACGCTGATGAGAGCTCTTACCTCACTAAATAACTTGCAGCATGCTGTGTCACCTGAATTGCATCCTCAGAGTGTGGAATCTCCGATGATCCCCATTCAAATGCATTTTTCTACAGATAATTTTATTTTGCATAAAGAGCTTTTTTTTTTTTTCGTTTTTCTAAAATCCAAGCTGTCCACAGAGAAGAGGATTAGAAACAGAATTTAATTGGCCAGTATACCTCAGGATGCCACTGGAAACCAGTTATTGGGTATTTCTTTGCTTTAACAGTTGAAACATAAGTCTGCAAACGAAATATAATTAGATCAGTTCACAAAGTAAGGTCAGATTCTGGAATTCATAGAGTTCTCATGGTTTATAGGAACATGTTACCTTGCTGTTTTCATCAATGCAGGTTGTGAGGATTTCAAAAAAACTAGACAAAGCAGGATTGCCTTGAAAGTTTGCTGGTGTGATACCATACTAGAAAATAACAACAATTGGAATCAGCAAGCATATAGAATGAGAAGATAGCCACTGTTCAAAGAACCACAGAGGTAAACAAAACAATAGGAAGAGAGCAGCAACCAAAGCTTACTTAATGGCTAATTGCTCTCTTTAAATAATGCTTAGTGAGTTAACTTTGACAACTATATTCCATATCCTGCAGAAATACTAACCTTGTGTTTCTGCATAACCAAACAATCTGTACTGAGTTTTTTCAACAACTGTGGAGGAAATCTGCAAAATATGATACATTACAATTACATATGGGAATAATTTTTGAGGTTTGACTGAAATTCTAGAAGGTTCATGAAAAGCCTATGCACCTTTGGAATAAAGTTCCATCAAGATTAACGTTGTCAACAAATTGGAGACTTGATGCATTATCTTCAGCATCAAATCGTTCAAGAATGTCTCTGTTCTGTAATCATTGACAAGGATTAGAGACATTTTTATAAAGGAGTCTGCAAATGCCATTACGTTGTCTAGAAAAGACTTCAAATATATTGATTTTTTAACACTATCAAGTTGATGGAGCAAACAAGAGTTTGTAAAGAAGGAGAGAAGAAAGAGTGACCTGACTAATGATAATTGACATAAGCTCGAATCCTAGACAAATGCCATAAACTGGAAAATGCTCACCAGCATCATTTCTCTCCAAAGCTTTCTGTGAGAAACATAAATGTTAGAAATTAATATTCTACACAAACACAATTAGCACCACAGGCAAACAAACAAAAATGTTCAACTTACATTGAAGATTTTTTTGACGGTCTCGAAATATTCATACTTTTTAGCCCAACCACCAGTGAATATCACACCGTTGACCAGTTCTAGCTTCTGCAGATTCAAAAATGTAATTGACCAAACGATAACTTGCGTTAATTTTTTTTGTGAAACAAATCCAATTCTCAAGCCAAAACCTAATAGAAGTGCAGCCAAGTGGTATTAAATATCAGAAAATCAGAATGACCTGAAAGAGCAATTCTTCAGGCTCGTTGTAGATGAGTGGGATAACACGAGCTCCACCTGCCTCAGCGAATTTCACATACGAGGCTGCGATGTACGTCGAGCTCGTATCATTGGTCAACCTACCGGACGCGCCATCGCCAGGGTGGCTCAAAATACCGATGACGGGCCTGTAGTTAAGGTTCGGATCCGGCGCGGAGCAAACAGGACTCCGAGAACCGTCAACTCCGGTTTGACTAGGGAGAAAAATCGACGCAGACGATTCGGTAGCTTTCGCCACACTGATATCATTCCAAGCAAAGAGTAGCATCGGAAAATAGATGCAACTCCACATTCTCCGAGCTTGAAGAACGGCCTACAATGGAGGATTCGCACCGTTGACGAATGAGAGAGAGAGAGAGAGAGTGATCTGAATCAGAATTAGGATTTTTTTTTGTTTTTATTTATAATAAAATGGACCTATGTGCCATGTGGCCTCCCTGACCCTCACTGATTCAAATCCACGTACGCTCTTTTCGAAAACCAATCCACTTTCTTTCTAAATTATTTAATTTGTAACTACCCAGAAACGTGTTATACTATATATCATTATTTAATTTTTATATACTATATAGTATTTTTAAGCCACGTATCTGCTTCTCCGCGTAGGGAACATTGCATTCATTTTTTTTTAGTTGTTGTTGGCTTCAAAGCTAGCCAGCCGCTGTTGATCAATGAGACACTCGACCTGAAATATTAGCTCAAAGTTTACGTGATATAAAGCTCAAGTGAGACAAATATTTTCATTGACGAACGGCTCAAGAGTTATAACATATAAACATACAATCGGATGAAACCAAGTTCTGATTTTGATATCCTTAATCGAAACTAGGCAGTAACAAAAACACAACGCTTTTAAACTTTTTTGAAGAATGACATTATGTTCCCTTGCTTTGGATCTTTAATGTTTCCGCCTTTCTTGCTTCCTGCTTTTCCTCCTGCGTTTGTGGCAGCCGCATTTCCAATGGCCGGGCTCTTCTTCTGTGCAACCGCCCTGAAACAATACACTCAGATGGATGTTTTAAACATCGTGTGCGGGTTTCACTAAGTTCAAATGTTCTTTATAGATTGGTCTTAATCATCTCAAAACAACATACCTATTAACACCATTTGCGTTTTTGCCATCATTTAACTTCTTACTTGTTTCAGTGTCCTCTTCCTTCTTCACCTTAGTGTCTGTCACCTCCCACACTACCTCAGTTACTATAGCAGTGAAAAGAGGATTGCATAAGTAAGAGACGCTGGCATTACCAAACAAGAGTTCGCATGTAGCCACCTCTTAGCTAAAGGCTGAAGCGATGCATATGTGTGTTTATTTCTTGTTATATACAAAACAGTATTGGTTGCCTAAATGTGTGATTGAGCATACCTTCTCTTCCACGATCGTCAATTCGTGACTTCAACATCTTTTTCCTTTTCGGTGAACTAGGAGCTTCAATAATTCTTCTCTTTGAGGGATTAACTTCAGCTTCAGAACCAATGGCCTGGATCTTCTCCATTGGCAAAGTCGTCGATGCATCAACAGCAGTTTTTTCCCTGTCTTCTTCTCTGATCTCTGGTTCATCAAATGTTATCTCTTGAGAAACACCTGCATCAGGCTTCTCTGGACATGAATCTTCAGAATTGAATTTCCCATCTGGACGTGAATTAACCTTTGGACTGCTAGGAGATGCTAAGCTGATAACATCAGCATCTTCATACTCTTCATCTGAAAAATCCAATATCACCTTCCTTTTTCTGTTTTCATGTTTAGGCGCTCTCTTGAAATTGACGTCTTGATTTTCATCTTCGCTGCCTCCCTTATTGTCAGCATCATGAGAAGGTTTTTGGACTTCTGCACCAATTACAGAACATTTAATAGAGGATCAGAACTAATTAATACAGACACCAAGTAAGCCATAGCCATTGATCAGCACCTAAGGCAGGAATAAATGCCAACTCCACATAAATATTCAAAAGACAACTGGAGTGGTTAAATTAGATAACATACCCGAATGATCATTAATATGGATTTTGACCTCTACTTTGGCAGACTCGTCTTCCGTTTTCACAGGCACACGGCCCCACATATTTTTCAACAAACCACCAGTTCCAGATACGCTCTTTTCGCCCAGCCCATTCTTCTTATTAGGGGGTACAAGTAAAGATCTTTCGTTATCCGAAGAGGACTTCGCAGACTGATTTTGAGCTGGAGCAGTGTTATTTTCATTCTTTGCCTGATGGCTAACATTAGCGTTTGAGTGCTGAAATCTCTTTCCCTGGTTTGATAGAACTGTACCCTTTTGAGCTGGAGCAGCGTTCGTTCTCACACTTTCAGTTCGCGGGGCTGTAACATTGCCAGTGGTTCCCTCTATGTTACGCTTTACAAAAGAATTGGAGATGCCACAAAACCTGGTATAAAAGTCACACTTCTCTAGTTAGAATGGATAAGGCTGACCTACAGTACCGGACATCTTTCATGCAACAGCAGAAAAGGTGTACCTGTTGCCTCTCAAGCAATTATCTGTGGCAGAAGGCTGCCTAGAGAGGTCTTCTGCTTGTACAAACTCAGCATTCCATATTGCTGCTGGATCCATTGGAACACTAGCTTGAACACTGTAGATATGTACTGAATATTTTCCATTGAACTCTTTCTCCACTTCTGCATAGAAGTAATGACAGGGAAGTGTCAAATCATTTGCGCTTTTTTCATCGCTTCCCTTACTTGTAACATTGAAATATATAAAAGTAAATTTGAGATAGTATCTTGAACTATAGACAATGCAAAACATTACTTGTACAACTACTTGGCGGAAATAAAATCAGTAAGATGAAAAAACAAAATACTAGCAAAACGAGTCATTACTATTATTAGCTTATCGGATAGGTGAACAAGAAGGAGAAACCTAACAAAAATTGCTAAATTAGCAGTATAACAAACATGATACTTCTAACAGAGGAAACTAGCAAAAGAACCCTAATACTAGAGACAGTGATGAAGTATAGCAAAGAGATAACAGGTAGACGAATGAGAATGAGACCTGGAAGTTCGGTACTAGAAGCAAGCTTTGCGGAGTAATTGGAAGGTCCGTTCTTTAGGCACCCGGAGACAATATATACAACTTCCAAACCCTTGCCATGTTTCTCTACAAAATCCTTAAGCAACCTAATAGCAAACGAATGCCGATGATCAACAAAACAAATCTGCAGTAACAAAAATCTAGTGAACAGTCCCAATGGGTGAGTGGGAACAATGTACCTCTTGGCAGTATTTGATGAAAGAGAGAAATTTCGACTGAGCCATTTGAAAGATACCTAAAACCAAGTTGATTGAGCAAATTAGTAATTATATTCCAATTACATAACAATTCCGAATTTCATAACTGATTTTAAATGCCCACGGCGACGCTGATACAACAACAAACTACAAACAGAAGCTTCAGATTTAGACAATTAGCCCTATTCCGATTAGGTTGCAAGGAGCGATAAACGACAATATCGAAAGATTGTTCAAATCAGTGAAGTGGAAATCGGAACCCTAACCAGAAAATTGAAGGAATTGAGAAATGGAGAAAGAAAGAAATTACCACTTGAAGCTGATCGGAGACGAGAGACTCGATTTCGTCGAGAACGTTTAAAGTATGGGTGAGGGTCATTTTTTCCGATTTCTGAGATTTGGTTGGGAGGTATTTTCTTTTTTTCTCGTCGAGGGAGGCAATGGCAATGGCTGGCTTTCCCGCCATTAAACAAAGTTGCGCGGCGCTCTTAGGAAATTTGCGTCAATGTGGTTGTGGATCTGCTGTAGCCGATTTGTTTGGGCCGCCAAACCCATCTTCCAACCGCTCTTTCATCTCTGTTTTGCTCTTTTACCTTTTTACCCCTTACTTTCCTCATTCATATTAATCGGTCCGGTTCGCTAATTTTTGGAATTTTGGTGTTTCGGTTTGGTAAATCCTCATCGCAATAGACCGGAATTGAACTTCGGTAACGGAGCGGAAGTGTAATTTGCCAACAAATATATGATTTTCTTTTCGAATACATTTTTTTTCCATTGCGTCCTATTTCTAACAGAAAAAGAAAGACATTACAATCTCCTATTCTTGATCAAATTAGGTGTTCATAATCCTAAACAAACCCTACATATCCCTGATCGTTCTCTATATATATATATATACGACTCTCTTCAATCACTTTCACGTACTCACAACCCATATTTCGAGTCGCTCTTCATAACTCTATCCTAAGCTCCAAAATATCTCCATCGAAGAAGAAGAAAGGATCGAACGAGTCATGGCCGAGGAACAGCGAGAGATTCCTTGCGTGGACTACCTTTCCTTGGGATCGTCTGCTCAAAAAGCTATATGTCTCTTTGGAAAGACGATATTTCCGGTAGAGTCCTCTTCTTTGGAATCCGAGGCAACGGCGATGCTTCACGCTGACGTTCCTATACCTTCGGAGAAGGAGATAGATGAAGACTTGAAGACCCTTTCCTCGTTTGAAGTCGAGCTCGAGGATTCTGTCTCCTTAGGACTCTCCATCGGGATTTCGGGAAGCCCTAATATTAACTCTAAGGTTACTTGCGCAGGAATAGAGAAAGATTTAACCGAAGATGCCAGAAAGTTCAAGAAGATGAGATATCTTCCGAACGAGGAAAGGGAGAAGCGAGTAAGGGAACGAACTCCTTACCCATGGACCATCAAGAAGACACTGACCCAGAGCGATATCAATAAGCTAACCCGACTTATGCTGGAGACAAGGCCTGCCGAGGACCACATCATGAGATATCTCTCCGCAGATGACCAAAAGAAAATCCAAAAAGGCATTAGAGTCAAGGTTAGCGCTTACGACGAGGACACGAGAACTCCTCACCACTTGGTTGTCAAGAGACACGTCACGTCATCAAAAAGCTATGTTTTAAACGGTGACTGGGCTCAAGATTTTGTTAAGAGGAGAAAATTGCAACTAGGAGACACGATTGGACTCTTCTGGGATCAAATTGACTCTACACTCCACTTTTCTGTGCTTCAGAGATCGAAGTAGCCCCTAATTAGCTAAAGAGATCGTACTTCATTCATAGACCCTATTTATATATTAGTTTACTAGATGAGTACTCGGTTTTACTTGGTTATTTGGTGTGGTCTTATTTGGTGCATTCGAAGGTTTTTTGTCTTAGGTTTTTTTGGTCAATGACATTGAAAAGGTTCTTTCTAAAATTTGTTGGTTTATGGGGTGAATTTCGATATTTGCAAAATGATTTTGATGTATGATATCCTTGATTGATGCTGGACTGATCCTTGATACAAAATATTTTAATCCAAACCGAATTTAAAATAAAATTAAAAAACTTATAAGACCAATCCATCTTTATTGCAATGTTTTTGCACAAATCTTACCTTAACATTTGTGAAGAAAAATCATAGGATAGTTTTTTCACGATTTTTCTTCACAAATCTTAAGGCAATATTTGTGCAATAACCCTTGCAATAAAGATGGTCTAACGAGAAATACAAAAATAGACTGAAATCGTATATTAGACAATCCCATTGATATCAATAGGCTTTTGTGTTATACTGATATTTATAATTCGAAAATTAGAAACTTGGAAAACTTGAATCAAAATGAATAGTAAACTCGGATTAAACACTTCATAAGTGGATACATGTATCTAAGAAACAATTTCGAAAATTCTTAGCAAAAATTATTTCTTAGCTTATAACATGTTTTTGATTTATTTTTTCTCTTTTTAATTCTTAGAAATTTGCTTAAAAACTTGCATTGGAGTTGCTCTCATTATTTTCAGTAATTGCTTTTTAGAATAAAAGAATTGGCCTGACAGGTTCGAGTATACAATTGAAAATGAACCAAATTTTTAAAGTTGGATAGTGAGTGAACGAATCAAGCTTCTTCTGCCTTGCCATCTAAGGAAACGGAGTCGCGTCTCTTTGGTGTCATCAAAAGTCAAAGGAACCGTTCTATGTACTCCGTGAAAAACAGAGATCTCTATCTTCGGCAAAGAAGATTCGCGCGAGTACGAGCCAAGAAAGGCGAGAGTGCACTCAAGCTTCTTTTATCTTGTCATGTAATGAAATGCAGTCGCGTCTCTTCGGCCTTTCTATACCTCTATACTACGCTTTTTCCACGATTTCAGATTAAGAATTGAAGAAGACTAAAAGCTTAGAAGTCCCAAAAAGGGTTTGGTTTCCACGAGCATCTGTTTACTCGACGAGACATGGACTTGCCGAAACGCTGATTACCCTAGTGTCACTTGCGCTCCAAGAAAAGTAACCTAACAGAGCAATTCAACTTTATTAACACTGAAAAGTTTTTGTTAATAGTGATTGATATTGCTTATGGTAGTTGTTAATAGCCAGCTACTGACTATCTTTTTGTTAATAGCCAACTTAATACATGGATTATTTGATATGTTCTACACTATTTTGTTTCGTTATTTGTTGCATGTCACCTTTATAATGTTGAAGAAGATAGTCAGTAGCAAAAATTGAAAGAGAAATATTTCACATTAGAAAGCTTTATAGCATAACATAGTTGATAGAAGCAAAAACAAGAATCTGCAAAGCCTGCTCTGGTTTTGAGATTACGAAACTACAGAAACCTGAGAAGAATAAACTCTCTGCAATTGATGATAATTAAACAGCTGCGGTGTTTTTATTTTTGCAGCTGTATTCTCTTGTCCCTGATAGGCAGATCTAGCGGCTTCTGGGCCTCGTGGGGATGGTCCGGACCTTTGTAAACCTTCAGGTGGTTGAACAGAGCTCTCCCAAGCTGCCACAAATGGTCAGACCAAAGTTAGAGAGAGCTCGAAAAATAGTACCAATATTTACAAGTGTTTCACAAGTTCACTTTACAAACTAAAGAAAAACGTTTTGCTCTGTCAAAAGAGACGCATAAAGAGCTAGAATCTAACCCGTCCCTTTGGAAGCATTCCACGAACAGCATGCTCAATGATTCTTTCAGGAATTCTCTGCTGCAATTGATCAAATGTTTCTACTGTCATACCACCAGGTCGTCCTGAGTGCCTCCTGTATAGCTTTTGGTTCCGCTTCTTTCCAGACACAGCAACTTTCTCAGCATTTACCTTTAAACCAAACAACCGAAAAAGCATTAGACATATGAAGGAGAGCTGGTTGAAACATGTACAAAGTTACAAGCATTGTCTAAAACATCGACATAAAGGCCTCATATCTCCCTGTTGGTTAATTTTACCATATCACATATCTTTATTCACAGATAGCTGAAGAAACGCATACCACAATCACAAAGGCCCCCATGTCGACACTAGGAGTGTATGAGGCAAGATTCTTCCCACGGATGTGATTAGCAATTGTTGATGCCAATCTACCGAGAATTTTGTCAGTTGCATCAACCACAAACCAGGGCTTATCCGTGTTCACATGGTCCGAAGCTTTGGGATACCATGTCGTGTTCCAGATGTCCTGTAAACCATAGGATACACTCAATACAAGTTTCAAGCTGAACTATTTTAACTTCTTCCCCATTTGACGGATTCAGAAGTGCAAAAACATCAATTCTCAGAGCAATTTGATACAGACAACACAGATATGGAATCAAAGGCAAAATCCACTACATAATAAACCGCAATTGGGAGAGGAAAAAAAACCAAGTTATATACTTCAAATTCCCCGAAAGTTTCACAAAATTCCAAGAAAATTTCAGAGTAAGAGCTAAAGTTTGACATTTTATAAGGTATGGTCAAGCACACAAGTTTCAGAGATGGTAAAGAAAGAGAAAGATAAAGTCGTTACAGGGCCATTTGCTTCCTCTTCGTCGAACATCCATCGCTGATTCGCCGGAACAAGAGAAGTAGTCGTCGTCTGCTCAGCTTCACACTTCACTTGCAATCCTCTTTTCGCGTTCGCATAAATGCCGACTCGTGCCGACGGCCTCGAGATAGCCGTCAGAGAGAACCCTAAAAATGGGGACCTTCTGTCACTTCCGGAGGGTTTCACTGAAGAAGAAGAAGGGAGAATCACCGTCGAAGACGAGCAAAGAACCGCCATTTTTGTTTTTTTCTCTCTTCTGCACAATTCTTCTGCTCTTTTCGATTTCTCGGATAAGATTGGGTTCTTCAGTAAATAGTCCTAGTGGTACAACTGTAAATAAGCTTAATTTTAGGACCGGGAAAATAACATAAGACGGGTTAAGGATCCGGTTTTTCGAAGCTCCGGAACCAACCCGGAACATTGATTTTTTTTTTCTTAATTGTTTTTTTTTTTTTTTCGGGAGAGAAAGGTCTTCGGAAGCAAGCTAAGTCATGGCAACGATTTCGCCAGCTATACTACTCTTAAATTCTTCTAGATCAGTTTCACCTCTGAGATTCCCAACATTCTCGGGATTTTCTTCTTCTTCTTCTCCATTCGCTAGATCCTGCCGATTTGGACGACGTTATCTCGAACCCCTTTCCAGCGGAATGCTTTCGTCGGGAAGCAGAGCCGACGGTGTTACGGCGGCGGCTGCATCGGTGGAAGGAGTGATGACGGAGGCGATGAAGCTGATTCAATCGGCATCACCTACTTGGAAATCCGCCGTGGCTAACAATTTATTGATTTTTGTTCTTGGTTCACCGCTTCTTGTTACCGGATTGTCCGCTTCTGGTGTCGCCGCCGCGTTTTTGCTCGGTACTCTAACTTGGCGGGCTTATGGCTCTGCTGGTTTCCTCTTAGTCGCTGCTTATTTCGTCATAGTAAGTGCACTTATTATGAACTTGATCCGTAATTTGATCCCTGACTCTTTTAAACAGAGAAATCAAAATGACATTCTTCATTTATCTGCTTGAAATGATTTTAAAACATAACATTACCTAATTGGATTTTGATTTTGAACAGATGAAATTAAGAATGTCCTAAGATTTTAGATGAGTTTTGTTGTTGCATTATCGGTGTAGGCATTGTGGATATGTTAGATCCTGAGTGAATCACATTTAAAGACATAATTGAAGAGGGTTTATATAATTACAAGATATGATTAAAAGGATTTTCGTTTGATTGATCAATGTTGAGCATGATCAGACTTTGAACAATAATTTGTTATTCTCGTAGTTAGAGGTTTGTAAATAGACAGCTCATTTTTTCCATATATTGATATTTGAGATTATGGAACTTCCTCGTCTGATCATGCTTAACTCTGAGATACTTTTTCTTTACTATACAAGTTTGCTTAGAGTTTTAAATTTTAATATCAGACCTGGAAATAGTAGGGCCAAATTTTCGATTGGTTCTGGCGCTGAAGTTGGTTTAGATGATTTACAATATCACAGGGAACAGCTGCAACAAAGGTTAAAATGTCGCAAAAGGAAGCACAAGGTGTGGCCGAGAAGAGAAAGGGTAGAAGAGGACCCCGCAGTGTGATTGGTTCAAGTGCTGCTGGTTGTGTCTGTGCTTTTCTTTCAATATATCAAGTGGGAGGAGCAGCTTTTTCACAGCTTTTCCGGCTTGGCTTTGTATCCAGTTTCTGCACTAAAGTGTCTGACACTGTCTCTAGCGAGATAGGCAAAGCTTATGGAAAAACAACGTGAGTATGCTACTGTTATCTACCTATGATCTCTTCTGCAATGGTCTGTGTCTGTTTCCTGATTTAATTATGTCGTGGACTTGTGTTGTCATAGCATGAAACCAATTCACAGCTGTAAATTATGATCTGCATGCATTTTCTCCTCTTACTAACTGGTGCAAATTTGCAGGTATTTAGCCACAACATTTAAGATTGTACCAAGAGGAACCGAGGGAGCTATGAGTATTGAAGGAACATTGGCTGGACTTTTAGCATCATTTTTTCTTGCCTCTGTTGGCTGTTTCCTGGGTCAGGTAATAAAGGTTATCAAATATATTGTTGAGGAATGGAGACATCTATGACTCTATGTTATTTGCTCCAATATTTTTTTCCCTTTTCACATATTCTTTATGATAAATGCATTTTCATTACATGATTTAAACTTTTTTTCCTTTTGATCTCTCGAGTATAGATTACTCCTCCAGAAGCAGCTGTATGTGTACTAGCTTCCCAGATTGCCAATCTTGGGGAGAGCATAATAGGTGCTTCTTTTCAAGACAAAGAAGGATTCAAATGGGTATGCTCACTTCAATGAACCCTTGTTTTTGTTTGATAACTCTCGCTCTGTCTTCTTATTGTCAATGAATAAGATGATAATCAGACGAAAATACAGCCACTCCTGGCAGCAAGACTGGTATATACTGGCTTGAGTGGAAAAGAGATTTCCATTCCATACAAATTTTAAATTATCGTCAAGTTAGTTACTGGCAAAACAAGAATTCAATGATCTTGTTGTTGTTCCCCGTTTGCTGTATGTTGTCTTACGTTTGTCACCATTTTGCAATGTGTAGCTAAACAATGATGTAGTCAACGTGATCAACATAAGCTTGGGAAGCATTGTGGCGATTTTGATGCAACAGTTTATACTACAGAATTGGGTCAAGTAAAGCCTATGATGAGGGTCATGTCTTTCTTCTCAGTGAGGTTAGATTTAATCTTTTGTTGAGCAACAGTATGTATTCTATTATGTGTAAATACAATCTGTTATGTGCAATGAATTAGTAGTCCAATAAAACTTCTGAGACCTTCATTGTCTAGCACTTATTATATGATGTCTTTGAATTGAATTCGCCTTTAAAATCCCCCATTAGATAGAAAAAGACTGAAAATCGCATAACAGCTTTACGATATTAGGAGTTTAAAGAAGATGTAAATACAATTTTTTTTTTTTTAATCAAGTACTAGTAAGTAGTGATGAAAAGGCAAGAAGTCAAGAAGAAAACCCCAAGTGTGAGTTGAGAAAGATGAAAACAAGAGTCGTGATTTGTTCGAATACATTCTTCTTTTTTGTCATTATTATTGCCGTGGTCCTATCATCTTTTCATCTTTTGCAATATTCTCGACGTTACAGAAGATAAAGTTTCTGGTGGCCAGTTTTTTGTTATATTAGAAGCCTCTAGATAAAATTGAGCATCCATCGGCTGTCTTTAGTGTTTTGGAAACATGAAAGGCAATTACAAATGCGTTACTTGTACGAGCTTGTGGTCCGGGATACGATACGACAGTGGCCCATGGGCCGCGATATACATCGAATACATAGCTGACACACGCGCATGAGAAACGCGTAAGTGAAATCTACGGCTGATATGACACCGCCGCAAATGTCGCTTTTTTACTGACCAAAGTCAAATCTCCGTCTCACACAACAGAGAGACTTGTGAAGCCTTAAAATTTGCGAGGATTTTTTCGATACAAACAAATGATAATCAAACTTTATGTGTTTCTTTTTCTTTCAGTGAAACAGGTTCTACATTGTTTTTTTTTTGTCAATCCATAATTGTTAAGTTTGTAATTTATGATATTTTGAAACTATCTTTTAAGAACCAACTTTTATAATTTAATAAACTACGCCAAAAATACTAAAATAAACCTTTTTAACAGTAAATTAAAAAAAAAGCACTGGTATTAAAATACAATATAGATCTTTTTGCGTGAGTCGTCATACATGTGACGAATGTCCCTTCCCCCACAAACCTAACCTATATGGTTGGTTCGACTGCCTCCCATCTTCGTCTCGAACTTGCTAAAGTTTGGTATCGTGTTGTCGTCCCAAATTTCAAAGTGATGATGTAGGCGTGGTGTGGCAGCGATTGCCTTACACGCGTCATACCTTAATTAGATCAATTTTATTTCCTTTATCGTTTTCTCTCTCTCTCTCTCCTCGCGTAATAATAAGAAGAGAGTCATCACCAGCTCTTCTGATCAAATTAAACAAAAAAAAGAAAGAAAGCGTTTTCTCTTCTCTAGCTTTCACAGTTACCCAAAAGTGTTATCAATATTATTATTTTTTTTTTTTTGCATTTTCGTAATCGCTGGTGTTTACGCGAAACCTAGTAATTTTCGCTGGATTGTTCTTCTTCTTTTGTTCGTTTCGGCGAGTTATGGCCGTTGATTCGGCTGACCGGCGTGAAGTAATCGTCAAAATCGACGGTGACAAAGGAACTACCGGCAATGGAGTCTCCGGAGAGACTGTTGGAAGGATTTGGAGAGACGGTAGTTACGATTTCTGGACTGATGGAGAAGGCAACCTCAACAAAGGCCACAATGCTGCTGCGGCTGGTTCCGACAGATCCGCCTCCACGACGGAGGAGCTACAAGACGAGGGCTTTGAGTTTCGCCGCGGCGAAGATCCTCCGACAAAGCTAATTGGTCAGTTTCTCCACAAACAGCAAGCTTCTGGTGAGATTTGTCTTGATATGGACTTGAGTATGGACGAGCTTCAGTCTAGAGGTTTAACCCCGGTATCGGAATCTCCCACGTCGGCGAAAGTGCCTGCTAAACCTGACGCCGTGGGACGCCGTAGCAATAACAACAATAACGATGATGGAGAAGTTGTCAAGTGTAGTGGAAACGCTCCGATTCAGAGAAGCACAAGCAGTTTGCTTAAGATGCGAACTAGATCACGGCTCTCGGATCCGCCAACGCCTCAGTTGCCACCACAACCGGCCGATATGAAGTCTGGTCGGATTCCGAAATCTGGGCAGATGAAATCAGGTTTTTTCGGGAAAAGCCCTAAAACTCAAGGGGAGGAGGAAGAAGATGATCCGTTTGCGGAAGAGGATTTGCCGGAAGAGTACAGGAAAGATAAGCTTAGTCTATGGATTGTGTTGGAATGGTTGAGCTTGATTTTGATCATTGCTGGGTTTGTTTGCACTCTTTCAATACCTTCCTTGCGTAAGAAGAAACTCTGGGAACTTCAGCTCTGGAAATGGGAATCAATGGTTTTAGTGTTGATCTGTGGTAGGTTAGTCTCTAGTTGGATCGTCAAGATTGTGGTCTTCTTCATCGAAAGGAACTTTCTTCTCAGGAAAAGGGTTTTGTATTTCGTCTACGGTGTCCGAAAAGCGGTGCAGAATTGCTTATGGTTAGGACTTGTTTTACTCGCTTGGCATTTCTTGTTCGATGAGAAAGTGGCTAAAGCAGCAAACACCAAGGCCCTTCGGGTTGTAACTAAGATCTTTGTGTGTTTGTTGGTTGGCTTCTTGTTGTGGCTCGTGAAGACACTGTTGGTCAAAGTTCTTGCTTCCTCGTTCCATATGAGCACTTACTTTGACAGGATTCAAGAGTCTTTGTTTACTCAGTATGTGATCGAGACGCTCTCGGGTCCTCCCTTGATTGAGATCCAAAAAAATGAGGAAGAGGAAGAGAGAATCAGCGTAGAGGTTAAGAAGTTTCAGAATCCTGGAGGTGTTGAGATTCAGTCAGGGGCTCAGAAAAGTCCGTTGAAGACCGGGAAAAGCCCGTTGATCTCTCGTGTTCTATCAAATGGAGGAGGAGGAGGAGGAGACAACAAAGGGATTACAATTGATAGTCTTCATAAGCTGAATCCTAAGAATGTTTCAGCGTGGAAAATGAAGAGGCTGATGAATATAATCCGGAATGGATCACTTACCACCTTGGATGAACAGCTTCAAGATCCAAACTTGGATGATGATAAAGGAAACCAAATCAGAAGTGAGTTTGAGGCAAAGCTCGCCGCAAGAAAGATCTTTCATAATGTCGCTACGCCAGGATCTAAGTAATTTAAATCACTTTTACCTCTTACATACAAAGCCTTTTACCAGTATCACAATATGCATACTAACCAGTGGCAATTGCACATTTTCTTACTTAGGTTCATCTATGCAAACGACATTATGCGGTTTCTGCCTGATGACGAAGCTTTAAAGACTTTAAGTCTCTTTGAAGGAGCATCTGAGACGAACAGGATCAGCAAATCATCTCTTAAAAACTGGGTGGTAAGAAATTTTGGAATGAATTTACACTCTTTAACAGTTTAAACGTAGTCATATATTAAAAGATATGTGAAAATGTATTTTCGTAGGTAAATGCTTTTAGAGAGAGAAGAGCTCTTGCATTGACCCTAAACGACACCAAAACAGCAGTTAACAGGCTTCACAAGATGGTGAATATCGTGGTTGGGATCATCATAATCGTTATTTGGCTTATCATACTCGGAATCACTTCCACCAAATTCCTCGTTGTCATGAGCTCCCAAGTCGTGGTTGTTGCATTCATATTTGGAAACATGTGCAAGATAGTATTTGAATCTATCATCTACTTGTTTGTGATACACCCGTTTGATGTAGGCGATCGATGTGAAATTGATGGAGTCCAGGTAAATTTGAAAATGTACCTGTAAACAATAAACTCCTCATTGATTGTATTGTTTTGAATAAACTTCTCTATTTTCTCCAGATGGTTGTGGAAGAGATGAACATTTTGACAACAGTTTTCCTGAGGTTTGATAACCAGAAAGTCGTGTACCCGAACAGTCTTCTCTGGACAAAATCCATTGGAAACTATTACCGTAGTCCTGATATGGGAGATGGAATTGAATTCTCCATCCACATTACAACTCCAGCAGAGAAAATCATCCTCATCAAACAGAGAATCACAAGGTACATTGCAAATTTGGAATCACAGTTTCAGAAATTTTATTACCTGCCCTTATATGTACTCATTACCTGCATGTGTTGGTGTGGTAGTTACATTGAAGGGAAGAAGGATCACTGGTATCCGGCCCCGATGATAGTATTCAAAGACATGGAGTCATTGAACAGTGTGAGAATTGCAGTTTGGCCAACACATCGGATGAATCATCAAGACATGGGAGAGAAATGGGCTCGAAGATCTCAGCTTGTGGAAGAGATTGCCAAAATTTGCAGAGAGCTTGACATTGAGTATAGATTGTATCCTCTTGACATCAATGTCAGAAACATGCCCACTTCTACTGTTTTGCCAGTTTCCGACCGACTTCCACCTACTTGGACTGCTCCTGCTTCTGGCAGCAACTGAAACTATAGATGAAACGTTTTACATGGTTTGGATCAAGAGGATGTGTTTTTTCCATGCGTCTTTTTGTACTCTACGAATTTAGAACTTAGGAAATGATACATGATGATTACTCGACATTAATGTGATGTATAAATTTTGGTTCTTTAATCTGCATAGTGGTTGGATCATAGTAACTGGTGATTCTAATTTCGGTTCATGGAAAAGTAACGGTTTTCCCCTGTTTATCTGAACCCGTCCACTAATGTTACTCTTCCCCAGTGATAGTGAACAAAACGATTAAGCATCAAGCAGATTAGAACAGAGCAGACACCTATTGAAAGAACATGTTTTCTAATAACTTGATTCTTATTAAGCCAAAATGATAATTTTATAATTAATAAGTCTCTCCTTATAACCTTCAACCAACTAAACATATTTCAGAAAACGACCTTTCTTTGTGTTGTCTTTCAGCTAACAGAGAACAAAGAAATTCGACCCTCACAGACCAACTACAGTACAAGTTTGCAAATCATTCATGTGATCTACTGAGAAAGCTGCCGATCTCTTTCCTCACACGGCCAGAAGATAGTTGCAGTGGTTAGAATCGCCGCCGCCGTTTCCCAACCCTTTGTTTAGGGGATGAACCGGTGTAAAGAGTAGAAGAAGATATGTCTGGGACAAACACTGAGTGGTGGTGAAAATGCTTAGGCCAGTTTAGACCAGAAGCTGTAGGTGGCGACTGAATCTGTGGAACAGCCCATGATGTCTCATCTCCCAAGCAGTTAATGTTATCTTCTGCATCTTCTTCTGCGGATCTCATCATCGAAGAGCTGTCTGAATCTCCTCGTCTACTATAATCAGCCTGAAACAATAAACTTCAAGCTTAGAAATTTTCATAAACCAAAATAGATGAATCAAAAGGCCATAACATGATTTACTTTTTTTTCTCTTTCTTCCCAAGACTCACTATCTAGAGCTTGAAGAGGTCTCAAGAACCAAAAAGGCCTAACTCAATCTTGATTTTATATACAGTACTACTTGATATAACTAGACTATATTACCTTAGATGATCCATTGTTCTCCATGTACTCATAGCTCTGATCAAAGTCGGTTAGCCCAAAAATCTCCTCTATTTGCCACTGAGGAATGCTTCCAGTAGCTGATCCGCTGCTTGCAAAAGGAAGCTTTGTCGAAATCTGATCACTGACTTTACTTTCCGGTAAAACTCCTTGCTGATGATCAAAGGTCATCTTTTGATGCTCAGATATAGATTGAACAAATGGTTTTGTCTCCATGGTGGTTTGATCATCATTGGTTGGTGAGGATTTTGCGGATGGACCAGTGTCTATAGATTCAAGACCAACTTTGATTCCAGTCAGAAGAAATCTCTGGTGAGCTGAAACATGAGGATTCACAGTGTGGATTGCAACATCACATTTCCTACATAGTAAAGCTCTATCTTGCAGACAGAAGAAGAATCCAGAAGCTTCCTGTAAAAATCGCAACATTATTTTTAATTGATTTGCAGACAAACCAGAGGAATAAAACATTTCTCCTATCATCAGAACCAAGAAACTGGTTTATGTCCCTCCCTACACCTAAAAAGATTCAAACTTTAAACCAAAAATTGAGGATCTAAAACATGGGTGATTAGAAATCAGACCAAAGAATAAGATTTAAAAAAAAAAAAAAAATCAAGAGATCAGACCTGACAAATGTCACATTTGGGAATGGAAGAGGAAGAGACAGTGAGAGGGACTCTCTGATGTTTTCCGGCGAGTTTATTAGCAGCGTGAATTTTCTCGTCGCAAGACCAACACAGAGCAGCCTCGTCGGCGCAACATAGAACCACCGCTTCAGCCGCCTCACAAACGTTGCACTGAATCTTCATCCTCTCTGGTCTTTCTCACTTGTATCTCCAAATCATCCAAAAACTAAATCTTTATGTTTACTGTCGTGAGAAGAGAAGAACTTGATATTAGTGGGGGGAGGGGAGAGAAGTGGAACCAAGTTCTGTCTCTTGTTGTTGCTTGGACCAGCTTGGTTGTTGTTTGAGGTTTATGGTTTAAGCAACTCTTACGTTTTCTCTTATTCCTTTTGGAATTTTTTTTTAAATCGATAAATGTGATTATTTATACAATTTCTGACTAAAAAAATCAACGGAATCCATATGGATTTCTAGATAAGTCGTTGTGCGAAAATATCAATTATATTAATAAAATAATAAATCGTGGCAAATGGGATTATTTCACTTCGCAAAAAAAAAAAGGGGGCTTAAGTGCGCCATATAAAAGAAGTGGGGTAAGAATTGGAAAAATAAGGAGGTGCTTAAAGGAGATATTTATTTAGGCCAATTAGTGAACGATAAGTATACACGTGGCTAAGACAAGTGTCTTAATTGCAGGAGACCGTCTCTGCTGTGTCAAGGCTGTAATTGTTTTTATGATCAAAAAGATCGCAATTTTTTAAAGGTCCCCCAACAACAACAACAACAACAACAACAACAACAACAACAACAACAACAACAACAAAAGAAAAGAGTTTCGTAGATTTTTTATTTTTTTTTAACGTGTGGCTGCGCTTGTCCCCACGCGCAATACCAGTCACTCACTCGTTTGAGTTTCTCTATTACTTTGAAATTTCTCTAACTCGTGCTTAAATAATATCTTTTTGATTTTTCTGTCCGAAGAGCAATTTGTAAAAAAATAAAAAAATGCAATTATAAGTGATTTCTTGATGTGTATGTTTCAAGTAGAATATCTAGTTTCAAACGACTGTGACACTGTCTATTCATTTTGACCACTTTTTAGAAAGAACCTATATTATTTTCTTTATATATATGTTATAAATTTTTTGTCCCGGTTCATGCATTGTAATCTATATGATACGATAGCGATAGCGAAATGGTATATCTAGGAATAAATATCCCCGTTGTATAATATCAAAGATTATATTAATAATACACGTATGGTGGAGGATGACGATTCGAAACCTACATAAGACTAGTTTTTTTTTATTATTGTTTTTGTTTCCAAAAAAAACACAAAGCCATAAAAGAAAAGTAATTAACGGGCAATAACATTAATCAATCAATCATTAATAAGGTCCCATTTTGAAAAAGATATTTTCCTGAAATCAACAATTTGCACGAGAGAAAGAGGGAGAGTTCTAGACGATTTTGATATTATTTCCTGGAAATATTATTTTTATGGAAGAGGATCATATACATCCACGTTCTTGGTAGGAGAAAGATAGCTACTCGTATTAAACTTCTTCAAGCACCAAAAGAATCAAGAATCGACGAATCTTTCGGACCAAAGAATCTTTTACCACATCTATAGACAAGTGGGCTAATAGCGCTCTTAATGTGTGTACCAACTCTAACTTTATCAACATACCTACCCTTTTGTACCATATCTAGTACCTTGATCTGATCTGAGAAATGCCTTGAGACAAGAAAACATTTAAGACCGGTGCATCGGATGATATCCCGATTGTATCCCCTAGCTGCACGTTGTGGCGAACCTGACAACCATCAACGTAGATAGTCCCATGGTCTGAATACCAGTTAACGTCCATGAATTGGTTCGGTTTAAAGGCTGAATGCATTAGCGAAGCGGTTGAACCAGGAGATATTGGCTCTCTAACCATAAACTGTAGATCACGAGACAATATTGGCATCACGAACCCACCTGCTGACTGCATTGCTGCAGTTGAGCCAGCAGCTGTGCAGACTCTTAGACCACTTGAGCGGCAGTTCACTGTCTTTTGACGGGTCTCACCATATTTGTTCTTGATCCTGCGCACGTTGAAGAAAAGAGAACATCGATTTATAAGTGTTGGATATTATAGGGATGTCCAACAGTTAAACCTAACCAAAGAAAAGATAAACCAATTCTGTTTTGTTTCTCCATATCCGAATAAATTTTATGTGGGTACAAAATCTGAAAGTGAATAAAGCGATTAAATCCGTTTCTTTGGAAATCGTTCAACTATAGGTATGGTTTCTAAATCACCGTATACCAAACAAAACCCAATGGCCTGGTATTAAGTTTCCATTCATTTATCTGGATTTCATAAATCAAAAACAAGATTATGGGTGGGCACCTCTAGTTGGTAGCCTATAGCAACTCTATTTAAATGAACAAACAAGGGTGATGTCTACACAAGACAATCAGGTTTAAAGGAATGTCTGTTTTAAAAAAAAAAATTTGGGAGTTCTTACTTGAATGAGAACCTCGAAACCGTGGCAGGGCAAGGGTGTGCAACCAAAATGTCATTAAGTGCGTGTGAAAGAAGAGGTTCTGAATTTAACTTCAGTGATATTCTTGATACTTTTGAAGGAATCACTCTGCCAAACAAAATGTCATCCAGCACCTGTGAGCAAAGAGCTGAATGTTCAAACCAAACTATGGAGTTATCCAAGGACCAAATGAGACCAGTGACAAGGGCATAAATGGGCTGGCCAAAGTTGTTCCCTTTCTATTTCTCTAATAAACTTACCTGTTCAAAATTCTCAACTGTTGCAGCACAAAGATGACCAGTGCTTCTACTAGCGTCAAACTGATCGCTCAGTTCTTCTACCTAAAATTATAATAACAACCTTAGCTTCTTTTCATAGCGAAATCATATAAGGCAATATGAGAAAAGTTGGGCTACCAAACCTCCTGTGCTTGTGTTGGATCAGAATTGACTCCTAGGACTGGAACAGAATCATCAATGAAATGACTGGCGTGCAGAAGGGTACCATCTCCACCCACGGTGATGACCATATCGACATCACGAATGGGATGCAATAAGTCATTACGTGAAATGGGTTTCCATTCGACTGGCTTCTTACTTAGTATTTCCTGACAAAACTTTATAGCATTCCTGTGTACTTTGCTCCTGCTTTCTAGATATTTAAGAACCTGTTGAACAAAACAAAGAAATATCCTAATTCCATGAGAAACAAACTAAAACCAATAACAACGATAAGTGCGTGAGAAGTCCAAAGTTAAACATTTCTTAATTTGAATTTAAAATTCCCAAAGCTTTGTGCAGATGATAAGAAGAAATTGAAATATTCGCCGTTAACACATAGGAACCGCGGTAAGACGAAAAAGGAGTTCCATTTTCACGTAAAAGTCAACGATTCCGTCGTAAATCTCTTAGGAATTTTGTCGAACACCTTCGATACGAAACGAAAAAGACATGATCGGGATTCAAAAATTGATAAATACCTGAGGGTTTTTGATGAGCGATGCACCTTCAGTTTGAAGGAATGGGTACGGATCAATAGGTTTCAATAAAAGCAGAAGCTTCCTGATCGCCATTCTCGCTGAATCTGTCTCTCTCTCTCTTCCTCGGCGCCGTGCTCACCGGACTGGAGCAAACTAACGTTTGAGAAAGATATTCGATAAGTCTCTCTCTTCGTTTAAATGGTCTTTACATTAGAAAATCATTTGGCCCAACTAAAGCCCTACCAAACTGGTCTAGTTATAAAGCCCAACTAAAATTCTCTTATATGGGCCTAACGACATGGTTCTATAAATTAGAACCTGTAAAAACAAGTTTTGAACTTTTGTTAGACATGTTTTCTAAAGTTTGAACTTTGAATATCACGTTGATTTTTTAAAAAGTGTTATAATCAAGGGATTATACAATTTTTTTTTAATCCTTTTTTATTTTTTGCAAGATATGCATTATTATTTTTTATCAAATCAAGTACGGCTTAAGTCCTAACACTAAGTTGGCTTGTAAGAGCACTTTTGCCACGTTTAATTTAATAATGCCAGCAATTTTCAAAAAAATTATACCCCAATCTATATGAATTTTTTTTTAAATAGCTTTAAGATATACATTTTAAAAAAAAAAATCTTTATCGGCACGTTCTAGATGCATATATATATGGTAGACGGTCCGAAACGGTCACATGTGCAACACTAAACTGGAACTATTCCGATCGTACCAACGGCCCTAACGTCTCGCCTATTGGGAACAACGCTTAGTAGGATCAGATCCTCCGTATCGGAGGGCAAATCCTTTAAAGATTGTCCGGTCTAGAATCTGATCAGAGAGTGGGGTTGCGTACTTGCTTTTTGAGATCATACCGGCCCGGTTATGCTCCACGTGTGGTATGGTAATAATAATTGTGGTAGTGGCCAACAGAGAAGCTTTGGATCTGACCTCGAAATATCGGGCATTCACGTGATTTTTGTCTTTCATTTGGCCAAATTTAGTAACCTACTTTGTACGAGCTCCTCTAATTGAACAACCTAAGACATCTCTTGTATATTTTTCCCACGTATACATATTTTGAATGGTGACAAAATAGGACGAATTTAAATATTGTTTAAACATAAGATAGCCACCAAACATAATACAGACAAATTTTGGTGGATTGTACAAGAACGCATTCCGTTTTTTTTTTTTTTTTGAAAGAAGGTATTGTATTTGTATGTATGCTTCACGAGTATTATTTTATTTATCAATTATATAATTTAATTTACTTTAGTAGTTTAATTAGCAGGAAAGCAATTAATCACTAAATACGATTATAATTATTTGTAATCATATTTAGCGTGCATGTAAGTAGGACTCAACACACCAAAATTTGATACAAGCCTGTCCGAATTAAATGCTAAACCACTCGATAAGTGTACGTGTTTTCTGTTAGTGATGAAATTAGCTATCGTGGTTCTTGTGTTATATATGTGCTCAAGTGTTTAGTAGTACTAATTAACGTGTAACTTTTCCATCTTTCTGTCCATATATGGACTAAACCGTATTAAATAAAAGGCTATCAAATTCACTTTATCAAAAGAATAAAGCTATCAAATTCTTAAAACTATCGATAGGGTCAACAACTTTCTATGATATTGTGAAACCCTTGGATGAAACAAACAAAATTTGTTACATATCATGAATCCTACTTGTCACCAAATAAAATTGCGCAATAGAAAATGTTGTATCTTTTTACTAATTAGGTAACCCTATATATACACGAATCTCATCTATCCGATAATAATAATAAAATATCCAGAAGCTGGCAAGCAATATATCATCTTTTCGTTTTTATCAAACAAAAGAAAAGGAGGCAAAAAAAAAGTTGGGAGAACTAGAGTAATAATTTAAAGCTAACACACTACGTGCATGGAAAGATCAAACTACAAATAGTGACCATTCTCTAATCTTTTAGCTAGTGGGGTACAATCTCCACATCCATTGGCCTTCGTATTTGAATTTAGATTTAATAGTCAAAGCATTTTTTAGTCACATATTTGTCTAATTCCAACTAGTACAAAGCTCAGTTTTAAATAGGCTAAAATTAGTTGACCAAATAATATATAGGCGGCTTAAGTAAAACCCAAACGGAATTGAATTGACAAAACTCATAATTACATCAAATAATCCTGTGTAAAAAAATAACGAAACATTAGTGTTGTGATCAAATAGTAGCAAAAATCGGGACAAAATGTGAATATAAACTAACCAAATCATTAGTTTTTCATACTCCTGTCGTTATTATCTTTTTAGATCTCAAGTAATTAAGTAACAATTTGCCCAATTCAAACTTATTATTGTTTAACTTGAAGTCTTAGATCTGCAAAGTACTATTAATATATATGGACTAATTATTTACCAAAAAAATATATATATGGACTAAAATAGTGGACTAGCTAGATAGTGTCTTTTATTCCTTTTGAAACTAAACTATGGGCTATATAGCTTGTTTACTTAGACTAAAATAGTGCTTGAATGTTAATATGATATTTCAAGAGCTTATAAAAGAAAATAGAAAAAAAAAATTAGTGCACACTGAACAACGAAACCACTGGAAATTTCTTAACTCTCAAGTTACAGAAATGAAGAACTTATTAAAGCAACAAATAAAAAAAGGTCGTGGACAACAACAACAAAAACCATTTAAATGTCAATTAAGAAAGACCAATAAAAAAGTTAAGCGAAAAGTTATCCATGCGACCATGAGAAGCATCTCTAATTTATTACAGTAGTATTTCTTCAATTATATAAGAATCCATGGAAGAAAAATAAAGATTTGTAAGCACTTTACAAGTTGCAGCCTTTGTTAAAAGATTCGATTTATTCTTAGTAGATTATTAACTTATTATAATTGACGTACGAACGATCTAAATCTTATTCATCTGAAAATGGAATTTTATATGCAACTGTATACTCTCAAACTACGTAGACGCAATCAGAATTTATCAAAATACAAAACGGATATGTATAATAATAACGTGAATAACCTAACAAGTTAGTGGTGTTATAACAAAAAAAAAAAAAAAAAAAACAGTAAAAGTTTGTATAAAAAAGCAATAAAGCGATAATTGTAGTTGGTTAACTTTAATAAATTATGATGCGAATTGAGTCAGATGATACCATACCCATCGAAGTAAAAAAGTTACAGGCTGACGTAAAGGTGGTCGTCGTGGTCTCTCATGCTGCCAGTCAGATTATTCTATAGTTGCATATGGCATATAATATAGTTTTCCCATATTGATTAAGAAAAAAGGCATGTATGCAACTTTGAGTTTGCTTAGAATAAGTTTAGGAAGGATGGTTACAGTTTTAAACAGCTCTAAATTATAAGCTAGCTAGATTGAGAGAAAGTTTAGAACTTAGAAGTTTTTTCAATAAGCCTAAGTTTATGACAGTGGGTTACAAGCGAGAGAATACTGTACTTGCAAGTATAAAACATTAGTTTTGAATTTAAATTGTTAGACACTAGAGCAACATTTATTAATAATTTCTTAATATTCGCTCGTAACATTAGTTTAGTATTAAAAAGCTAAAAATACATCAAAAATATGTTAGTTTTGTCCCTTGATTATAAGACTTTCTAATAACAAAAACACATATAATTTCGATCAAATTAATTAGTTGAAAAGACTGTAAAATACAATCATAAAAGATGGTCTTAGTCTAAATGAAATGTGACTGCATGAGGAGAGGGAGATGGCTCAATGTACTACAATGTCACCACTCGGCAGTTATAAAGGCTTTGATGAGCTCGAACTCACTCCCATGTAAAAGGAGTACTAGTCGAGTGATGTTAGACTAGTAACTAACTTGCAACTGGAAAGAATTTGTATCTATAGACTATAGTCTTCTTTTTTTTTTTCCCCTGTATTTATGAACCACGAAATGAAAAGAAATATATAATTTACGAAAAATACTTGAATAAAAGAGAACATTAGGAAAAGTAACATAGTAAATACACTATTAGCCTTATGCATTATCGCTAAATAAAAATTTAGGTACGAATGAATCGCTTATAGAGTAAAGAATAAAAAAGAAGAAGAAGAAGAAGAAGGGGATACATACAAAATGTAATAAGGAATTAGATATGGTTACTTTGTGTTGTGAGTGGGGGATGATGAGAGATTTATATGAGTCCTTTCCTTTCCTTACTTCCCCCTTTTTGGTTCTTTTTGGTTCTTTTGGGTTTTTGGTTGACGAAAAAAGAGAATTTAAAAGGAGGTGGGGGGAGTGGGAACAAATTCCCTCCAAATGATTGGGCCATAAAACCACCACAAGGGCTCCTCTCTCTCTCTCTCTCTCTATTTCTTCTTCTTCTTCATCCATAACCCTACTACTACTACTACTACAACTACTACTACAGTCTTCTTCCTTGTCCATCGATCTCTGATCTCTCTCAATCGGCTTTGGTTCCATCGGCAATCAACATCATCCTCCCCCGCCGCCGCTTTCTAGGTTAGTACGTACTAGTACTCCGTTTATACTTTTCTCTCTTCTCATCGTTTGATTCCGTGTTCCATTTTTCCCAGATTCCCTTTTTTTAAATCTGTGAACTCTATTTTGTTCTCATTCTCTGTTTAGGTTTTCGTCCTTTTCTTTTCTTTTTTGCTTGTAACTTTGTGATCGTCGATCTGATTGTTGGTGTTATCTCTCTTCATCGTGTGATCTTCCGATTTGAAACGGTTCCACATTCTGAATTGATCTCTAGGTTTCCTCGTCGAGCAATTTCCCCCCTTTTTTTTTTTTTTTTTTGATTTCTGATTCAAATCGATACAGTTTCTCTGTTTATATGATTTGATTCGATTGCTCTGTTTTAACGACTTGACTCTTTCGTCATCCGAAAAGATATTACTATTATACTAGCTACTACTACTACTACTCATCATCTAACTACGAAACTTCTTCTTATTCCCCTCTTATATATAAAGAAGATTACTACACTAGTATACAAACACGTTACTATATATATAGATTAGATTACTAGTGCTGACATGTGTGCTCTTTATTCCTGTTTAATACGGCGAGAGAATTAGGAATCTTTTGGCTTCTTCTAACTTTTCTTATATTGATGCTTTCTGTTTAATGATCCTTAGAAAAAGGATGGA